GTTCATGTCTCTACATTGACCTGCTGCCCGCTGGAGCTTTCTCTTACAACGTGAGTGGGGTGGCATACCGTAGTTCTCTGAGGATGCCCCGGCACAGACGGCAGACCAGACGTGAACAATGAGTCACCTGCGCGAGGAAGTCCTCGTGAAGTCGGTCCTCGCCGACCAGTTGCCCCTCGGACAGGTCCTCGCGTGTCGACTGCATGTGGGTCTTGGTGTAGCGCCACATGACGCGGTGAAGCAAGGTATTGATTGCCTGCAACATTGGAGCAGAACCGGGCGAAGATGTTCCAATTAATCACACGAAAGTATCTGATCGTAGTGGTTAATGGGAACGTTGTGCAATCGATAAGGTGAGTTGTAGACAAGAATTCGCGTACGTTAAGTCTTTTAAAACATTGTCACATGGTCTTTCCTTACGATGTGAGAGTGGCACGAAAAATGTGGGCGGAAGCATGTCGTGACTAGGTCCGCCCGATTCTACCAAGTGGTATATCTACGTTGGAGGTCTACGTACATGTTATGATTGTCAGGCATGTGCACCTCGGCAGCGGGGTCGATGTCCGCGACCTGCTCGCGGACCCCACGCAAGAGGTCGGCGGCGGTCCGCGGGTTGTTCGTGGCCGCCTCTTCTTCGATCATAGGGATCAAAAAGTCCACGAGGGCGCCGCGCACATCACCGTGCAGCTCTGAGCGGGCCGCAACGACGGCCTTGATGATGACCGCTGTGGTCACGGAGGGAGGGCGGCAGAAAGCAGCACTGTGAGGATATTCCTCGCCCACAACACTCTCGGACCCCGGGCTAGAATAGCACCGGGCGAGCGGTTACTTGAACGCCGGAGTGGCCCCGGGACACGTATGGAGCTGCCGCGCGGAGCTTTTTGCGGCAGTTGGTGTATCACTTCTGATCGGTACAGCTCAACTACGTGAAACTCAGTACTCCTCCACCACCCTATCGACGAACCGGGGGAGCGACGGGTAGGTGGTCACATAAACCCTAGTGCAGAAGAACACCTTGCAACAGCAATAGAACAGAGTCGGCATCCCCGTCCATGAGTCCTGCCGTCAAAGTACGGAGAGGGTGGCGGCACGTAGGAATAGGGTGTGCACGGAGTGGAGGTTGTTACCAAGATTATTCGAACATAATTAACGTGTCTCGGGCATGCTGTCTCTGTGTACGAGTTTTTCACGTGTTGCAATAGAAATGTGTCTAACAACCGACCGACGACCAATGTAGGGGGCTCCAAAAAAAGGTGACATATCCGACGACTTGCAATGCGGAGTTCATCGAGAACGGATAGAGAGGGCGGTTGCGGCAGCAACGAGCTCAAATCGTGCCATTTTTGTTGTCAAAGGCCCTCATCGTACACCATTCATCATTGTGCCTCCGAAAACCGCGGCGGGTACAACCGGGGAACGTCCAGACTATACAAGTATNGTCTTTGTCTTCAGTATTGCTGTAGGGAGGAAGAAGAACTCGCGTCGCGGTCAGAACGGAGTCTTCGGAATTTTGACTACCGAATCAAGTACACATTGGGGACAAATGCAACGTTCGCGCGCCTTTACACAAGATCGAATTTTAACCGGTGGATATGGACTACACAACAAAAGAGGTGCTCAAGACCTTACATCGGTGATCACGACTTTCGGGCACGGCGATTCTCAGA